GGCTTCAGATGACCAGATGACGTGTGTCCACGCCTGCTCCCCAGAGAGTAGACTCTCACGACTTGGCTTGTGCCACCGACATGAGCATGCACCGCCGGAAACTGGCATGCAAACTCGGAAGGACGTGTGCGAGTGCTGCCTTGCTGTGGAGGAAGCCGGCGGCATCAGAGACGCTGAGAACGTCCAGAAACAAGCGGGGTTGTCTCCACTCTTCATCAGCGGCCCAAGGGGCCGGCGAGGCCGCCGCTAACAGCTCGCAAACGTTAAGCGCGACTAGAAAAGGTTTCACCCGAGGCGGGTGCAAAGCACGCGCAGCAGCCTTCACACGCCAGTCGGCTTAAAGGCGTCAGGCTCCGGGGGTGTCGAAGGTCTTCCAGGATGTCCTGTCAACGGTATGACGGCGAGCCATTGAAGGGCACGTCCTGCACGCGTGCTGCTGAGCCCCTTCGGAAAGCGGCCTCGGGATCGATGGCCATGCACACTTCGGCACTGCGTCCAGTGGCAGAGGTCACGTCTCAGGGCTCGCAAAAGGCTCTCCGAATGCAACTCAGAAGCTATGCGGCCTCGAAAGATGGCGTCCCCGGCATATCGGTATGCACTGCACATTGCACTGGTCGAGCGATTCGACCAGCCTTACCTGCTGAGCATATTTCCCCAGAAAGCGGCATGCAATGCACGGCCCCTTGTCCAGCAGCTTTTGACCTTCGAGGCCGTAGCTTTTGACCCAGCTTCGTTCTCTTGCCAAGCTGACTGGTCGACAAATCGCGAAGCTGTCATGCCTTCAGTGTGACAGTACTTGCTGCCACGCTGCGGAGTTTGCCGCACGCACGAGCCAGGGTCTCGATCCAACACTGGCTGTTCAAGTGGAAGCACTCCAAGGCGATGCGGGTGCAGAAGCTAGCGTGAGACTTTCCACCATGGAGTCTCGTGCTGCTGGAAGTCCTCCTCACTGCCGGGCGTGCATCGATTCTGCTGCAAGGCTGGTATCCAAAACAGGGCGGGCGAGCGTTGTCTCGCATGCTCGATGAAAAACAGACTTGCGTCAGTGCGCCCTTGAGCCTCCAAGCATGCTCGATTACAACATGACATGCTTGGAGCATACTACATTTTAGAGGGAGGTTCGGTTTGACACTCATGCTAAGATGCGTATTTCATCATACCATCCCGAAGATTGCTGATACCAGGAAAGTCGGAGAGATCTGCAAGACATGTTGTTTGTTGAATCTTAGTATAGGCTAGTATCGAAGTCTCCAAATGCGTAGATGCAATGATCGCTATCCGGCGCTGGTCCTTAGGGTTTGGGTTGGGGTTATTGAGCCCAAGGTGTGGGCTCAAAGGGTCTCAAGGCATCTGAATCGCAATTAGGCTTTGGTAGATTTAGCTTTGAGCTAGGGCAGCGGATTGCTGAAGGAGTGTGGCTACATGTGGGGTTAGCCGGTCTTTTACTTAAGTGCGTGTGTACTTTTAATTGCGTCACCGTACTGCTGCTTCTACTACTCCGATTACTATTGCTACGACTGCTACTGCTGCCGCTGCTAGCACCGTAATTGTCAGTTCTGTTACCTGCCTTCCTCGTGCAACTCCCGCGTCAGTGATGATTTGCAGCCGGGTTTGCAGCAATATAATGAACAGGACATTGGAGTAGGCATTGATATATACATGTCGTTTTGGTCATGATAGGTATCACCAAAGGTTTGTAGACAGTCCGTATGCTCTCAAAGCACAACGAGACTCAATCGGCCTTGCCAGCCGAGCGCGGCCGGCGTGCCCCGGTGCCTTGACCTGTCGTGTTGTTGGGTTCTATGATTTGGTGCCTTCTGTACTGGTTGGAAGGGTTTCAGATTCCAGTTCTCAATGCAGACGATCTTGTAGCATAAGGTGGTTGAAAGAGTTACGGAAAAGTGTTTCTGTGGATGCATAGCTGAATGTTGCTGACATTGAAGCTAGTTTCAGCTCTCGAGTGGCTGTTCCGCCTTGCGGGTTTTTGTGCATTTCAGGTAGGCAAAGAGCAGGCACGGCATCGACAGATATGACATACGTGCACGTCATGTCAAGCAGCTGCCTTATCCTAGTTGCGCATTTGGAGGGAGCAGTGCAGTCTGCCTGGATCAAACGTGCGAGATGGCGTGATGCGTCACCAAATCGTGGTTGCCGTTGCAGCATACCTTGGTGGCTCAAGGTAGACATCAGGCATGGACGATGTTTCAAAAGCTATCATGTTGAACAACCTGTAGCAACCAAACACTTTCGAATTTTCAGCCTTCGTGACCACATGGCTGCAGTTTGAACACACTTGGAAGTGTGTGCCCTCTTCAAATTTCATGTGCAGTAAGAGCAGAAGCGAGGAGTGGGCTGCAGACAGCACTAGCAATATTGAGTGATTAATAGATCAAAAGTGAAGGCCAGAAAAGCTTGCTGTAATTGCCAAGGCACGAACACTTTGCAGCCGGAGTGATTGCCAGTGTTGCCTAGCTCGGCGTTTGGGCAGATGCGGCCAATGTCTCGTATCAGCACATAAAGCTGATAAAGATTGCAATGCTTACAATGCTGAAAGTTGGGGCTCCTGGTGGTCAGGGGAAGCCTCCCGTCGCCTGCCCAAAGCAAGCAGCAAAGCTCTGTCATCGGTCGGATTGAAATCTTGGGGTCATGATGGCAAAAGGCCATTTCATGGCACCTTCTTCAAGGTTTTGTGCACTTGTTCCTGGCAGCCTTCAAAGCCATGCCGGTTCCTCTCGCTAATCAAACAGCTGTTTGGTTCGGGCTTGATCCAGGCTGCTCGGCATGGCCGTACCGCGCCACGCCAGCTCTCATTGCACAGACATTGGAGACAGCGGCTCCTTCAGGGGCAAGAAGTAAGTGCGTTTGCTGCACTGTGGCGGAGCCGCGCAGCATGTGTCAGGGCGGTTGCTGTATGCGGCAGTGCGCAGAGCTTTCCTGCGAAGACCACCCGGTGGCACCGGTAGCGTTGGCACGGGCTGCCCTTGACCCGCTGCCCTTGACCAAACCTTGCACTACAAACAAGAAATGCTGGCTCAGGAGTCCAACCTCGCCAAGAACAGTGTGCATTTTAGCAGACTTTCCAGCCTTCCAGCGTTCTTTTCTTTGTCGGCATCGGCGGGGCAATGTACGATTGTAGGTACAGATTTCCAAATGCGTGTCCATGGCAAGGTTCTGTACCGCATGTTCTCCACCAGGAAGGTCCTTGCTCGAAAGTGTTGTTTCTTTTCAGCACTGTGCGTGGCATGAGCTTCCGGAAATTGCACATATCATGCGTTCGGCAGCACTATCTGTTGTGTGCTGACTTGAGAAAGCTTTGCTGGTAGGCGCCGCCAATTGTGAGAAGCTGTTCTTGATCTCCACTTGTTCGGCCATGATGGTGTGCCGAAGGGATCACTGGAATCACCAACACTAGCAAGTTGCTGGCTGGATCCTCAATGCTCCTATCTGCACCGTCTGAGATGGGTCAGTGTGCTGCCTTACATGGAGTCAAATAAGACTAGATTTCCTCTTCTCCCCGCCCATCAAGCCATTGAAGTCCGAAGCCCTAAGGCCTGCTTCGGATATGGGATCTCCCGCTCTCCCCTGAACCGGGCCTTTGCAATGGGGCCTGGCCAAGCCTTCACCCCGAGCCTTTCAGTGCCCAGACCCATATAGTTTAGTGGCCACTTGAAGATGCTAAAGGGGTTATTATACCCCAGCCAACAGTCTCAGCAACCTCAGCGATGTATGAGAGCTCGTTTGGACACTGGCCGGAGAAGACCCCATGAGTTTGTTCCGTCGGTGGCAGTGCAACGCCGTGGCTCAGGGCTACCGCCCTCAGCACCTGGATCTTGTGCACTGCGAAGCCATGCCTGGCTCTTTCTCTCCCTGAAACACCCATAGGCTCGAGGGTCTCGACCTGCAAAAATAGCTCTTATGGTGAGTGTGCCTATGCCTGGCATGTACTTCGAGTACCGAGGAGACATCCTTGTATACTTGGAGATTTCGGAATACATATTGCAGGCATTGGCAGGCTACTGTTAAGGGAATACTAAAGTCCACATACCATTGTACACAACTATCACTTTCAGTCCGCCGTACTCCCAGCTCCATTTGCCCCCTAGGCCTGCTGAGCTGTTCTCCAGGAGCTAAGGCCGGATGCCTTGGCTGTCCGCTCTCGCTGCGAAACGCGTAGGATGCCACACCGACCAGGAATGTGGGTGTGCCAGGGCTTACTTTTCGATGGATGTCGAGAAGAGGCCTGTTGGCCTCCACCCTGGCTGTACGTACGCGCGCAGCTGCACCAATCAGCTCATGTCGTTGCTTGATGGTTTTGCCAGGACGCTTTGTGCTCGTTCGCAGCCCCTAGACATCCTCCGAGCTAGCTTCCAAGAGCATCCCCGATCGTTTAGTAGCGGCTGTGAGTTGTACCCTGGCACTGCTTTGGCTGCAGGATTCTGTGCATTGGCAGGCGTCAGACATGGAAGACAATGCTATGTGCCGGCGGCGTTAGCTAAGCGCTCGATGTCGGCATCCCAGCTCTCTTCTGTTTTAGTGCGTCTTGTGTGGGACTTGACTTGCTTCGTGGACTTCAAAATAGGCGCAGATGAACTTACCTCAACATTGCATTTCTTACCTCAACTTTGCATGTCTCCTAGGAAACCCTAGGAAACGAAGGATTTCGGCGAGTCACGACCTAAGGGAGAAATCATCAACATCATGAAGGCATGACACAGTATGAAGAGATTCTGATTGAGGCTTTCAATAGGCATCTGATTAGCTGACCTCGTTGCAGACGGAAGCTTGCCAAATGCCAGAAGTAAAGAGGACCGTGAGCCAAACCGCATTGGCACAGGACACTCTGCGAGCGCAAACAGAGACCACAGCAAGAGTTTTCCCAGAAACCCTGGGTCCAAAGTGCGTGGTCAGAGATGTTCAGAAGCTCCCCGCGCCGACCGGCTCTTTCTCCTCAAGCTTGCGTAGCTAGGACACGGCCGGAATGGCAGGATCTTCCACCTCCAATGGCAGCTTCGGACTCCTACGACCCTTGGTTCGACGAGATTACCTTGCGCGTCGCGCAAGATGCAACCGAGGGCCAGGGCCAAGCCTCGAATAAGGCCGAGGGGCAACAGAGAAATCAACAGGGGTCACAGAATTAAGCCCAACCCACACACATTTCCGCAGCATACCCATGGTAATTCCATGGCGCTGCATCAGGTGGTGATCAAGAGCGCTGACGGAAGCACCGTGGATGTGGACTCTTTGGAGATTCCCGAGGGCCTTAAGAACTTGCTGAAGGTGATTGATGCCGACGGTGGTGGCGTCGTGGACGATACGAATGTGCGAGATGCCATGAAGATGTTCACCACCATGAAGGCCCTTAAGGGCCCAACAATACCATCCCCCGAAATCCTCCCATCTACGACACCTCCCCCAACCCCCTCACCCCCCTTCTGAGGCCATGTTTGGCACCCACGGCCGCATGTCACACATCGAAGCTGAGAAGGGATTGAGCCTTCTCAAGACGCTGGTCTCGGAGAAGGCGGCCAACTCCAAGGAGGTGAGCTACACTCACATGCCCGATTGCGTCCAGGACCTTTCTTCATATCCCTTCATTTTTTTTTGAGAGCCCTTTGTTTTTTGGCCCCCTTGTGCGCCCGCGCCCTTCTTGGGATGTCTCCCCTTATGCTAACAGTCCTTGCTTGGGATTATAATGGTGCTATAACCCCGATTCAGGGCTGTTAGTATCAAGGAGAGCATCCCAAGCGCCTTCTTTAGAGCCCCCGCGCAGCAGTTTGCGAGGATGTGATGAAGGAGTGGGACTTGGACCGAAGTGGCAGCGTCAGTGTGCTGGAGCTGTCCGCTGCAGCCAACGCCCACAAGAAAGTCAAGCAAGAGGGCCGCGTCATGCGGAGGAGATACCGCTTACATTGTCCGAAAGGGGGCAGAGGGGGGCAGGGGGAGGGAGGGCCGGGGGGGGGGGGGGCGAGTCTTGGGGTACCTTTTCTTGGGCTGCCTCCCCTATGTTCAGCCATACAGGGAAGACAGGGATTCAAGCGGAGCAAGAGCAGGGCTTGAGTTGTTTTTTGAGCTTGCCTTGAAACCCGATGGAACCTTGGCATTCAGCCACTTTTTTTGCCAGGATCATTCTCGCCCTTTCGGGGGTGATCCTTCTTCTCCTCACCGGCACTTTCATCCTCTCTTACATGGCCGTGGATTTGGCGAAGGACTCCAACTAAGTTCCTCGTCGGGCGAAACCATAAAGCCCAAAGTGTGGAATGCCTCAACCTGGCACTCTAAAGCCCAACCCCATGCGGAACCTCGGCCGTGTGTGAGTGCGAGCGTCGAAGCCCGAAAGGCCTTACGTTTAGGCTCGGGGTTTGGCTCCAGGGTCTAGGGTCTAAGACCTACAGGGAATGCCACCTGCAGGAAATGCGTGGCAGCTCTGATGGCGTCATGAAGAACAACAACGGCGAGGTGATCAAGGCGCCGCCCAACTTGCGAGAGCTTGAAGGTCTTGGCTTTTTGGGGTTTGGGTTTACAGTGTGCTGGTCGACGTAAGCACAGGATCTCCAGCATCCTTTGGCGGCATGTAGCATCGGGCAGTTGCACGGGGTGCGTGCTCTGGGGGCTAGCTTCTCTGACATTGTCTGACATGGAGTTGTGGGAGCCACGTTCTACGTGTCTTGCAGCTTTCACTGACACGTTGAAGTCATTGGAGCATGAGCATGTGACACTCGGCCCTCTCATGCAAAACAGGTGAGCAGTGAGCACCATGGCAGTAACGAGAATCCTGAGCCAACCCAGTAGCAATGCGGTAGTATCGCCGTAGTTGACAGGCCTACCAACTTACTTTCCTTGCGTTCCTCTGTCGGGCTTTCCACGGCGTCGCAAACCGAATTTTCCACGAGAGTCAGGGTACTGTTAAGGTCTCACTTGTTTTCAAAAACGACATATGATTATACAGATTGTACACATCTCATGCATGTCTAGTGCACAGAGTGCGCGCGTTTTAGAAAACTTACGTGCGAGCGCTGTTAGGTGCACAGTCACTGTGACATCCTTCTGGGCCTGGCAGTGATTTCCAAAATCTCCTTCGCTTCGCGAAGACATCGAAGCATCAAGTAGATCACGCATCTGTGCTAGAATCTGCTAGAACTGAGAGTCTAGTATCAAGACCGCTGCAGACTGACAGCTCTTCGTTCGAAGTCCACGGAGATGGCACCTTGGTGACGCGTGGTGGTGGCAATGCATCGTGCCCGGCAACTTGGACTGCCATGAGGAACATTCTTAGACCCTGAGACCGCATCGCAACTCACGAAGTTCCAGGCCAACTCCACTTGCCGCGGTGGCGCACCGGTGCTGCAGGTGGGGGTTGAGACGAGTGTGAGATGTGCACGAGTGTGAAAGGTGAGAGGGCGTGCATCTCCACAGATTGCGCCAGTCATGATTGCGCGTGATGGTGCTCTGGGTCAGGTGGCTCAGGCCAAACCGGGCAAGCAACTGGCGTCGACTCTTCCGGACAGCGTTTTCAAGAATCTGGACATGGTTCCTTGGGGGCAGGGAGCGTTTGGATAGCAAGTATGCGGGGGGGGGGCGTATGCTTTTTGTTTGTGCCCCATTTTGATCCATTTTGCCCCTTTCAAGTCGAAGGTGACACTGTCGGACGAGCCCCATTTCTTGCAGCTGAAGATCATGAGCATGAAGCGCGTGCAGCTGCGGTCCAGTAAATGTGGATCCGTGGTTGAGCTTCACACCCAGGCAGGGAGACCTTGAAGCGACTATATGCCTGCAATGGTTCAGGCTGCTGGCTTGCTATGGCTTGCTGTGGCTTGCTGTGGCTGTTGCTCTCAGGAGGGAGTTCTGACGATCGATGACACCGCCCTGGAAGCCGACGCGCGCCTGGCAGATTACCTGGAACAGGCAGGGAGGGCTGAGAAGGAGTCCAATATGGGCATAGGGCACAAGCCCCAGAGGATTCGTCTCTTTAATTCTGGAGGTGCACGATGCGAAATTCAAACGAGTCCAAACATGTGACAAACATGTGAGACAAACGGATGCGCGAGGCCGGGATGCTGCACCTGCTGGGGAGCGGGGGCCTCTTCGGGCGCCGGCTCCAGCAGGGCTTCTTGGAAGGCTTCTTTACCATGCTGGAAGACATGGAATGGGAGTGCACCAGTGCCCCGCTGCCCAATCCGGAGGACAGGGGTCACATCAGCGTCAGACTAAGCGACATGGCTTGCTCATCCCCTAGTGAGAGTGATATGGCAGACGGCAGGACCTGCCCCTGAACTACCGCGCCAAGCTGCAGGTCTTTGAGAGCGTGTCGGCAACCCAGTTGAGCGACGCCGTTGCCGGAGCTCTTTCGCATATCTTCCCGGGTCTTGAAAATCCCCGGCCCGGCTTCCGATTCGACAAGACCTCGGGCTGGCCTTACCTAACATGGACAGAGGATGTCTTGGTTTTCCCAAACCTCCGTGTTGCCGCCAAGAGCTTCGCCTCTCACCCCTTCCAGACGCAGCTGGACATTACCAAAGCCGGCGCCAGGGCTTTTGTGGACCAGTACAAAGGCGTGGGCCATCATTGCAACCTGGGCTATGGTCCCGTGGCGCAGTCTTTGGGCAAGCTGGTCTCCCAAGCAACCAACTTCCGGCTGGTGGGCCTAAAGCCGGAGGGTGGCCGCATGCTCCGTCAATGGCGCATGGATGCCGGGGCCCCAAAGCAGTCGTCCAGTACCAAACAGTACCAAACTCCCAAATCCATGTGCAGTGTCATCGAAGGTGAGTGGCTCCATGAATGACACCGCAAGTCAAGTCATGACCTCGTGGAAATATCTCGGAAAGATTATCTTGGATTACTACGATGTCGACACGGACCCCACCGGTGTTTTTGAGCCTGGATACCCCTACCGCTTCTCGGACCTGTCTGCCGGCACTTTCTAGAGATGCGTGTCGGTCTAGGTTAGAGACAGCGATTGCTCGAGGTATCTCCGCATACAAAGACCCCATGGAGGATACTTCAGGGAACTTCAACATCACGGTGCAGTACCAGTCGTGCCTGTGCAGAAGAAGTGCATAAGGGTACCCTAGTGGTCCGCACGTCCTGTGATTCGGTGATTGGGAGGTCATCTGGGGGCCACACCGCCAGATGCATCTTGAGCCATATATATATATATATATGTGCTCACCCCCCCCATGGCAGACGTCGAAAGCAGTTTTCGGCCACAGTCTGTCGTGGGGAAGAGTGCAGCAGTCCCCAGCTATGTTATATAAGAAAGACAGCACAGTTTCATAACCGGCGTGTGCAGGCAAATGAGTCCATACATATATCATGTATGGAAGCCACACACTGCCAAAATTTCGATTAATTCTCGCGCCGGTTGGCAAGAATTTGCAGAGTTAAAAGAATTGAAAACTTAGTTCTGTTCTTTGTGATTCTTCTACGAATTCGAATAATTCCAACATGATCATTCGTTCTATTAATTCTAATATTCCATGATTCCATTGTTCCCACTTATGCCGTTCCCAGACTATTCAAACAATTAAATGGTTAATGGAGATACTAGACTTACTAGAAGTAGTGTAGTTAGTTCAAAAAACTATGAATCCTCGCGCCTTGGCAAGAGGTAAAGAAATAATGGAAGTAGTAGTTAATTCTACTATTTCTATTAATTCTCACGCCTGTTGAAAAAGAAGTAACAGTTACAGGCATTTTGACTATCGGCCAACCGTTTTATCTTAATGTATGAAGAAAAGGTTGGCCGGTGCCAAAAGGGAGCAAGAGGGGGAGCAGGAGGGGGAGCGGGAGGAGGAGGATTCCACCCCTCCAGCCCTCCACCCCACCACTCCTCCACCACCCCTCCACCCCCACCCGTCCACCCCCTCCAGCACCCAAAAGCCCTACTAAACCCGACATCTGGGGGAGGGGATTTGTCTCCCTTCACGTGCTATTGTCCCCCCTCATGTCTCGTTTCTGGTGTCCGAGACGGGGAGCCGGATGCTGTGACGCGCTTCTGGGCATCGGCAGGCTTTTTCTTCTTTCTGAACATGCTAAAGGCAAGGTTTGCTTTTCTCCATGATTGCTACTGTGTTCCTTCATGTCTCGTTTCTTACTGTCTGAGTTAGAGGGCGACATGTTCTGGGCGTGGCGTTTCTTCTTGCAAAATTGTGGAGTTCTGTTGAAGTAACTGGGGCAGCTTCGAAGGTGTAAGAGGCTTTGTGCGCTTTAGTAGTTGTCGCATGACGCGCTTCTGGGGATCGGCAGCAGGATTTGTCTCCCTTCGTCGCGTGCTATTGTCTCCTCATGTCGCGTTTGGCGAAACCCCTCGCGTGGAGTATTTGCTCGCTGTTCTTTACATTATGCATCCTGTAACGTCCTCCTTTTTGTTGTTTGTGCTGCTTGGGGTCGAGGCTGGTGTAACTTGTGTATACAAATTTTATGTATATATATATATATATCTATGCATATACATATCTATATGTATATATATATATATCGATACGCATATGTTTATGTGTGCATATGTATAGGCACATGTATAAGAGCCTCTCTTCCCTTGTGGCTCAGGATTACGCCCGTGAGCGAGATGAACCTCAGAGGTGCTTTGGAATTCTTCAACGTCACGGAGATCTCTTCGCCTTGTCGCACAGTTGTATTTGGCACTGATCTGTCCTCCATTGTGGTTCTTAAATACGAACCCAGTTCAGCAGGAATCCTTCTTAATGTGCAACAGTTTTCCGGTCTGCATCTTGCGCATCTTCCAGAAAAAAACGAAGTGAACCTGTTGATGCCTGGAAAAGCAAAGCCTCTTTGAGGGATTCCCTACACTGAGCCATCGCAGGTTCCTTGGACCCGCTGCAGTCTGGCACTGCCGATGACGACCTCAAGCAGGCCTCATGTAACAGGTTTCCAGCGGTTCTTTCGGATTTATGCGGTCTGCTGCCGTCTGCTCTCCTTGGGAGGAGATTGATGCACTCGGTGTCGTCTCCGTGGCCAAGGCCCGACACCGCTCGCAAGATACTTGTAGGTACCTTGCATTGGGGGTGTTGTGACTCTGCAACTCCACGACACTTGGGAGATAACGGGAGGCAATCCTCAAGCCTTTCTCGATGCCAGGTACCGCGCATTGATCCTTGGGAGGAGTCGCCGGGGGTCGTGAAGTGGGTTGCGGACAAGCTCTCAACCGAGGGCTTGAATGGACATGCTGCGTCACATTATTGGAACACCATGGCGTTCCACGCGCCTAGCCGAAAGAAGCTCGCCGACTCCTTCAATGCAGTGATCGTAGGTGGGGACACGATTGTTCAGATCGGCTGGCGGGTTGAACATCACCTTGGAGGCCGGGAAGGGCAGCAGCAGTAGGAGCAGCAGCAGGAGCAGCAGTAGGAGCAGTAGTAGCACGCCATCCTGGGGCGCGAGCGCGAGCGTCGAAGCCACGATCCAATTTCAAAAAGCAGAGCGTGTGTCCAGCGAAGTCCACTGCGCAATGTGCGGAACCAGCGTGTTTCTTGCCAGTGTCGCACAAAGCCCCGACCCTCAGAGTTTCCCTTGCACCCATATATGGTGCAGCGTCGCTGCCCCCCCCACCCCCCCCCCCATGGTCCCCCCCCCTGGCCCCCCCCCCCCCCAACAAATTCTTTCCCCGCCTGTGGGGTGATGTGGTTAGGGTTTAGGGTCCGCGCCCCGCCCCCCTGTGGTTTGGGCCCCCCTGTGGGGTGGTGTGGTTGGGGTTGGGGGTTGGGTTGAGGGTTTAGGGTTTAGGGGTGGGGGGGGGGATACCTTTGGGGGGGGGGGGGGGGGATACCATGGGGGGGGTGGGGGGGGGGGGGTACCGACACGGGACACGGAACCATATATCCCCACCTTTGCTCCAAGCCCAGTGTCGGCTTTCTTAATGCATTGAAACGTAAGGAAACTGTCTTGTGGGCATTCTGTTGGCAACCCTCCAGGTGCAGTATTCCAACAGCTCCAGCAGTTTGCCGGGCGGGTTCCTCTCCATCAAGGCAACCGCTGTGGGAACCGTGTCGGCGCCCGACGCAGGGGCATCAATGAATGACGACGTCGACCTGGAGGTCGAAATTTCAGAAAGCTCAAGGATTGGTGGATTTGCGAAGAGCTGCGCCACGAAGGAGGGAACAGTCACAATACCTCTTTCGGGGCTCGATTTTACGATCGTCGCGGTGGTCTGCCTTGCTGAGAAGTTCGACCACGTCCTCTTTACTATGATGTTCGCCTCGAAGCCGGACGAAACAGGAGCTGCATTCACGGTAGCTACGATAAGCAAGAAGTTGGGAGTTATGGACGCACCACAGTCGACGCGCAAGCTCTGCGAAGAATCGTGCTCCGAGTTCGCTGAGCCCACAGCTAGCGTCCAGTCACGCTGATGTTTTAAAGCATCACTCGGGATGCTTGTACATTCCTCATGTGCTGAAGCTTAGCACAGCATAGCTGTGCTAGACAACCTTTGCTCCTTGCTTTGTGAGACTGCGCACCACGTCGAACATCCGCGCTTGTGCAGTGGAGGGCTTTGGGAAGGGGTTTTTCGCAATAGCCTTGGGATCCGGCTGTTTCGCTGCATCCGTTTTTTCTTCCTGCAAGCTGGCGAAAATTTTCTCTAAGTTTCAGGCTGTGAAAGTCTCATTGTTCTGTAAGCTTTGACACGGCATGTCATCCACCTCTGCTGTGCTTTTTGAGTCTCAAACCATGCATGATGTGTAAATATTGTGCACAGGCGCCACAGGTCTGTTCTAGATTATTCGGCTATAGCAGGTTGCAGTGGAATCTGCGGTGCTTTTCTCAGTTCCGGTGTAAGGTTGGACAGAAGCCTCACCACAATGGCAGTGCCAAGTTGAGAAGCGTGCTCACAGCCACACAAACGTGCGTGGGAAAGTGCTTTCTGCGCCATGGATTCCGGAGTCCAGCCCAAAGCGATGCTTCATCTTTGTCTGGTGGAAAGCATTCTTTGCAAGCGCCTGTGCCAATGGTGCCAAGTGCGCGTGTGCCAGGTGTGCCCAGTGTGAGTATGGGCCCGAGTATGGGCCTCTGAGCAACTCTCCTACCATCTAGGCGCTTTGTGGGGCTAGGTGAGAGTGCCCGGGAGTACCCGTGCCCGCACCTCCAGTGCCTCCCAGTGGGCCTCCCAGTGGGGCTCCCAGTGGCGCGGGCCTGAGAAAAAGGCTTTCGCAAGGCGAAGTGGCCCCATCAGGCTCTGTTGGCAAAAGCTGCGTCACATCCTCGCCGCGACAGGGGCGGTTCTTGCCAGGTCCCCCACTCCACGCCCTGCCGAGTTCAGGAAGCTAAGGCAAGGAAGCTCCAGAGAAGCGTGTTTTGAGCGCAGCGCTATCAGAGCTCACGTGATAGACAGAGCCAAGATTGGGGCATGTCGATGGACAAAGTTCCGCTGCCTTTCGCATTACAACTTACACTCGATGTCGCAGCGCGCCAGTCTTTTCTATGTACTCACGTGCCAGTGTTAGAGTAGCTGGTGGTCGGTTTGACACAGGGTGTTTGTCCTGGCGTTTTCTGGTCTCAAGAACCGTGGCATCAATCTCATGACCCATTCGATCCTCCGGAACGGTTCCCAACTGTTTGGGGCGGTTTCTGAACAGGGCTTCGGAACATGCTCTGACAGTTACTGAGAGTTGTTTGACTGTTCCAGTGCCCCTGTTCGCACTCACACACAAACAAGCCACCGCTGGGGTGTTCAGGCTTCATGTACGCCATTGAGGACCATATTGGGCGCGAGTCAAAAGTCTGGGTTTGTAACTGGGTCCCGGGCGGCTTTCCGCGACATAGGGTTTGTAATTGTAAACGCTTGCGCGCGCCGCCTCGGCAGCCGGGCCGGCCCCAGGACAGGAAAGGAGGAAAGAGGGTTCCGCAAAAAAAGGGAGGAAGGGCAGAGCGGGTGGGGTCGAGGGGGGTGAGGGGGGGGTTGGGGGGTGGGGTGGGGGGGGGGGGGTGGGGGGGGGGGTGGGGGGGGGGGGGGGGGGGGGGGGGGGTGGGGGGGGGGGGGGGGGGGTGGGGGGGGGGGGGGGGGGTGGGGGGGGGGGGTGGGGGGGGGGGGGTGGGGGGGGGTGGGGGGGGGGGGGGGGGATGGGGGGGGGTGGGGGGGGGGGGTTGGGGGTTTGGGGGGGTTGGGGGGGTTTGGGGGGCACTCCCCTGTAGGAGCCACGACAAGCGGGACCCTCCGCGGCATCGGTTTGCAGCTCCTCCAAGGGATTGGGGGGGGTCCCACAGGGCGGGGGGGGGGGGGTTGCGTCAAAAAATTTGGCATGGGGGGAAGGGTTGGGTTAGGGGGAAGGAGGCCCGATCCGGGTCTGCTTGTTCCAGACGCTTCTCGGCAGGAAGCCGAGGCGAACAAAGCCGTTTTTCCTTGTGACAAGCAGCGTCCGTGACTAAGCCTCCGCGACAAGGTGCTTCTTCAGGTCGGCGGCCTTGTGGAAGGGGGGCACTCCGTGCGTGGGGGGCGCAGGTCCAGGTGGGCAATGTGAACGTGCTCGGTGCTTGTACCCGAAGGCCTTGGGGCACTGCGGGTACTGGAACGGCGTCTTTTCCCTTATGCCGATAGGCTGCAAGCCTCAGAACTTGGCGCCGCCAGCAACGAACAGCGGTGTGCCTTTGTTCGCAAAGGTCTCACCGCCTCGGTCTCACCCAAAACCATATTTGTAGGCATCCGTGGTTTGGGGACGTCGGAAGGTCCGGGAAGCCCCGTTCCCCACCTTCGTTCTCATAGCTTCACAATGGCACTGTGCCCACGAAAAAAGAGCTTTCCTGGAGGTGCCTGGACATCGAGCTGAGCTGTTGAGAGGCTCGCAGGCGGAATCCCGACCTCGGCAATGCTTTGGAGTCGCTGGTGATCTGTCGAATAGAGGGTGTCTGTCATTGGCGAGGTGCCCTCTTGGAATACCTCTGAGCCCCACATCCCGCGTCGTGGCGTCGTTTCGTTTTGTTGCGCGTTGTTGTTGCTGTCGTTCGTCCTTGTTGCTGTTTCGCTGTGTTGTTGGGGCTGGCTCCTTAAGCCTTGTGCCGGAGGGGCCGCCCTTTTGTTAGGCCAGGCCCGTGCCTCGGTCGATTCTCACCTCACCTCACCTCACCTCTGAGCCCCACAGACCCTTATACCACTCCTCCTACGGCTCCCAGGATGGGTCGAAGCTGACCTGCTGCCACTTCAACTCGGAAATCCTCCCTTTGTCAGAGGCAGCTGCCTCCACTGCCTCCGGCCACAGGGGAAGCGTGCGTTCAGGCCTAAAGCGTAGTCCGTTGTGACTTGCTCTGCGTTTGTTTGGCGTTTTCTTTGTCAAGCTTGTCGCTCGTCGTCGCGCATCACAAAAGGCAGCGCCGCGGTGCGCCGGCTCACGTCTGCATAGCAGCAGCTGCAGCAACACGAAGAAAACTGGGCACGCGGGCGAGGCTCGATTCCTGCACTGGCCCCTGTGTAGGTAAGTGTTCGGCGCATGCGCCGGGGCGCTTGATGTCGGGCTCTGATGCTTCTGCAGCTGCAGATCAGCTCTTCCTGGCACCTTACTCGTTGCAGCTGCAGATCAGCTCTTCCTGGCACCTTACTCGTGGTCTCATACGCAGTGGCAGGCTTGTTCCGCGCCGCCCTCAGAAGTAGTGGATGGCCTTTTCATTCCTACAAGGGTCGCTCTCTTTGTTACACATCGGCGTCCACACTGGGAAAGTGCAGTGGCCAGTGACTATCCGAAACATGGCTAGACTACTGCAATAACGTGCCCAAATCGCTGACGTCCACAGCAAGCCTGGCAGTTGGGTTTTTGTTTCTGCAAGGCTTTGAAAGCAATGGGACCGTAAGCTCAAGACACGTCTACACCATGTTCTTATGCAGCGCAGCTGCAGACCCAAGGTGCTCCTTCTTGTGCCTTTCCTCAAAGCTGGATGTGTATTCTCGCGGCCTGATGTGTAAGCTCACCGCAGGCAGATTTGAGCATGTTCGAGCACGAAGCACGAGAAGCAAGCCTACCTGTGGCAGCACTCGAATGCCAAAAAAAAAGGTTTCATGCTGAACTTGACTGCCCCTTTTCTCAAGAGAGGAGGTGGGCGATATCCCAAACCGTGCTCACGTTCGTAGGCACATGGGTGGGCTTGCCAGGAACGGAAAATGACTCAGTGCATATTGCACCAGCCTTGTCCGAAGCGTGGAAGTGGGAACCCGTGGAATTTTGCTGGAACTTGCGCTGAGGTCCAGGATGGTTCGTCACCTTCGCAAAGGATAAAGGTTCAGAAGCCCCCTTTCCCTTCGCACAGCTTCGCGATGCTCTGCAGGCCTTCGCATAACCATTGGCGAAAGGCCGCCTTCTGTTTTGCCCTTATCGCTGGCAGCACCTCGGCCAAAGCAACACCCGAGGCTGTACACAGCGCGCGTGTGTGCTGAGTTTGATTTTCAAAGATACGTCGGGATTCACGTCTTGTTTTCAGAGGTTGGGAAGCCTATGCTGCCATCATGATGCCCCGTTTGTACAACTCCGCTTCGTTCGACTCGTCAGCCGTGTCAGAAGCGTGCAGATGGGAAGTGCCCGCAACTGTGCCACGCCCGAAAAACTCTCGGAACTTGCTTGGCCCCAACCGCACACGAGTTTTGGTAAGAGCTTTGAGTGCGGAGATGTGTGTACAAACATGGAATAATATCTCCGGGTGCTCATAGCGCCGGAGCCCCATGCATCGAGACATTCAGGGAACCCATTTCTCACGTGAGGAGTGAAGCTACCGCCATTTTCTGCCTCGGGACGATGCATGGCTTGGACTGTGAGCCTGTCACACCTATGCCTATGCTGTGCTCCTGTGAGTGCCCCGCCTTTTCACTACCGCAGCTCAAGGAAGCCTGATGCAGCCAAGCGTGCACGAGGGCCTTGATTGAAATCCCCGTGGGCTCATAGATGTCAGGGTCCATGCCAGGCTCCTGACAGGCGTATGGCCGGACTGTGTCGGACTTCGCAGGACATGTAGGAAGCAACTTGTGGGCACCTTCGTTGTCTGCGTTGCCTACCCTGCACCTGCATAGCCCCGGAACTCGAAAGTCAAAGAACGCCAGAGTTCATATCACGATGTGCCAGTCATCCCCATGATGGAGCAAAGACGGTAACGGTGAATTTCCGTAAAAGGCCTCCAGGGCCTTTTTCAGCCTAGAGGAATGTGCATTGTCACGCGGGATATGGGAGACGTCGCTCGCTTCGAAGGCGCTTGGCCAAGGCATCTCCTGTCCTTTCCAAGTCTTCCAAGTCTTAAGGACCTTTGCCCACTTTCATCGCCCGAAGTCTGTCGTAACCTCGGTCAGCCCTCCCAAGCTCAAACAGCGGTTCGAGTCGGTCAGAGTAGAGTAGATGCATCTCACCTATCTCCCAGATGCCTTTCCGATAG